GAAAAGTGGATACACAACTCGACCAACTAATAACTGCAAGAAAACCAAAAAATTGTTATTCTAGGTAAGCTTATGTAAGTCTAAAGCATACATACCTGTCACCTTGGGCTCGTTCCTCGGCAAGACTTGTATTTGCTTGGTTCAACTCGGCCTTCAGAGAGCCTATTTGGTTTTCCAGCTGTTCACTGTGTTCATGGCTTGCTTTGAGACGAGATTGGAGCTCGGCCTGTAACGGTAACTACTTTGAATAATCTCCATTTACAAAACATTTTATGAAACAAGATATAATCATTTCTGTCAAGTGAACGTATAAATATTACCTCCATTTTTTTAGCCTCCTCCAGTTCTTCTTCCAATCTGGTGACATTATTAGTCTTCTCTTCGAGATCAAACATCAAAGCTGCCGCCTTCTCTTCGTAATCAGTTGTATTCTGCTTCAGCGAATTCAGTGCTCTAGAATATTTTGTAAAAAGTCAAACTTAATATTAAATGAAAGTTCCTATATTATTCTGGAATGGTATATAGACATTATTGAGTCATAAGATTCCTCAATAGAATGAAACCCACTCATTACAACGTTCCTTCTCAGCTGCTACCAATTCGGTCAGCTGTCGGACTTGTTCATTCAAAACGCTGATTTGCTCCTTGAGAGCAGCACGTTCATGCTCAAATTCAACTCGACGAGACTCGAGATTCTCCTGCAACCAAGGGATTTTAGAGTAGTTCGAGGCAAACGAAAAAAGCACTGAAAATTTTTAGCGGGATGCAGTATCATTACATGAGCTAAGCGGCTTGTGGTTTAGTTGAAGATTACCACCGAGGGCATGCGTAAGCTGCAGTTTATAAGCTAAACCCCTATGCAAATCAAATCATGACTTAATGTTGAGGAAGTGCAATCTATCCATAAACGCAATGATAAGCACAGTCAGGGGGACACGGGCGCAAGCGCTCATAAAAAGGACACAATGCAAAATTTTTCTTTCACGCTCTCATCTCCTCGTCCTTTCCAACTGTCATAAGTGTATAGCATTCTTCTTTTAACTTTCGGACAAGCATAATTTGTTGCTGAGCATGAAGGATGTAGGATAAAGATAAAGAAAGTGGGAAGAAAACTCGCCTATTCATACTCAAAAACAAGCAAGTCGCGATATAAAGGAGACAAATGCAAAAAAACCAATGTCTACTCATTTGATTTTTTTAGCGAATACTTGTCTACAACACGCTAAAAGTAAAAGTATCCACCTTCTCCTTGACTAGCTCTCGAATGTGGTCATTCAATTGCATCACCTCGGCATCATGTCGTTCTTTAAATTCATTAAAGCTTGTCTGCATCTGAAAAATCACATTACATCATGTACCATTCGGCACTAAACTTAGATTTCACTTTTTGAAAATAGCCACCCGTCCCGCTTAGAATGACTTCACTTATTTCCAACAAAAATTATAAGAGATTTTCTGTCTTGTTGTCTTCCAAATAAATGTTGGAGCAGGTTCGTGGAATCGTATAACAAAGTACCGCACAACTAGTAGATGTGTGTTCCTCAAAGAGTGCAACAAACGATAAACTCTCAGGTAGTCTGTATATTTCAGATTTCTAAAAATGTATAAAGTTCAAGAATCGTAATTTATGGTAGTTTACAACAACAATACTACTGAACTGCAAATGCAGTGAATGAGGAAGCTACCTTTTCCAATTCTTCCCCGAGCGATGACGCGTCTGTTTGCACCATTCGATCACCTTGTGCAGCGGAAAGATGTTCTTCCTCGATATGACTCATCATTTCTGTTTCACTTGTGTTTGGATGACGCTCGGCAAACTGCAAACATCATCTTTTTTTATGGAGAGTTAGTACCAAAGTGCATGATAAATGTTGAACTCATAAGATTTAGCAAAATTC